GAGGGGGGACCCAATGGCAGCCCCCCCTTGCAGGGCCGGGCGTGGATCCGCGTGGCGCTGATGGAGAAGCGAATGTCCGAGTACATCTCCACGGCCCTGCGGGACACACGGACCACCAGGTGAGCAGCCCACGGCCCCCCCGGCCACGGCCACGCCTGCGCTGGGCCCGGGGTGGGCTCCGTGTGCCAGGGTGGGTTTTGGGGTGCCACACGTTTCCCCACAGGCGGTTTTACGACGACGGGGCCATCATGCTGCGGGAGGAGTCCACGGTGCTCACGGGGATGCTCATCGGGCTCAGCGCCATCGACTTCAGGTAGGGGCGGGTGACACGGTGGGACACAGGCCCTGACTGACCCCTCTGGGGTGCCCTGACCCTCTGCTCCTTCTCCCACTGCCACTGCTCAGCTTCTGCCTGAAGGGAGAGGTGATGGACGGTAAAACGCCCGTGGTCATCGACTACACGCCCTACCTGAAGTTCACACAGAGGTAAGAGTTGGCTCCCTGGTGCCCTCCCCGGGGTTTGGGGGGGTTTTGGGGTCCCTTGGTGGGTTTGGGGGATTTTAGGGTCCCCTCACCCCTGTTTTGTCAGTTTGGGAGGGCCTGGGTGGTCCCTGGTGGTTTTTGGGGTGCAGCAGGATCCACCTGCACCTGCAGGTGTTGGAGGTCTGGGGGCTCCCTTGGTTGGGTCAGAGGGGGGTCCCTTGGTGGGTTTTGGGGGACATGGAGGTTCCCCCACCCCCGGATCAGTTTGGGAAGGTCTTTGGGAGTCCCCGCTGTGTTTTGGGGAGTAGCAGGACCCACCTGCACCTGCATATGTTGGGGGTCTGGGGGCTCCCTTGGTGGTTTTTTTGGGATCTCTGGGTCCCTCGGTGGGTTTTGTCTCTGCCCTGGCACCCTGGTGGGTGTCCCTGACTGTGTGACAGCCCCCACTGAGCCCCTGCACCCTCCAGCTACGACTACCTGAGTGAGGAGGAGGAGCGGGGCAGCGTGGAGAGCAGCACGAGCGAGGACAGCTCGCCTGAACACCCCTACCTGCCCCTGGTCACCGACGAGGACAGTTGGTACAACAAGTGGCGCAAGATGGAGCAGAAATTCCGCATCGTTTATGCCCAAAAGGTACCGGGAGCTGGGATGGGGCTGTCAAGGTATCACCCCCCCCCGGGACGCTCCAGCCTGGAGCATCTGCCCCTGCATCCCCTCTCCCACAGCCCAGTGGTGTCCGCAGACCTTCACCCCACTGCTGCGGTGACCCAGTCCTCTCGTTGTCACCCTGAGAGGCCCTGGGGACATTGTGGTGGCAGCAGGGCCACCAGTGGTGACAGTGGCCTCCTGCAGGGGAGCCTGGAGCATCTGCCCCTGCATCCCCTCTCCCACAGCCCAGTGGTGTCCATAGACCTTCACCCCACTGCTGCGGTGACCCAGTCCTCTCGTTGTCACCCTGAGTGGCCCTGGGGACATTGTGGTGGCAGCGGGGCCACCAGTGGTGACAGTGGCCTCCCGCAGGGGTACCTGGAGGAGCTGGTGCGGCTGCGGGAGTCGCAGCTGAAGGACCTGGAGGCGGAGAACAAGCGGCTGAAGCTGCGGCTGGAGGAGGTGATGGTGCAGAACCAGCTGGAGAAGAGGGAGCTGGAGGGCGTCATCCTGGAGCTGCAGGAGCAGCTGTGAGTGGGGACATGCTGCTGCTGTGGGGGGCTCGGGCTGGGGGGGGGTCCCCTGGAGACTGGGTGCCCCAGGGGCTGTGGGTGGTCCCCAGTGTCCCATTGATCCCGAGGGGCAGGGTGAGGGGTGGTCCCTGGCACCCCGTACACCCTGTGGGGTGTGATGGATGTGGCGTTCCCAGGGTCTGGGTGCCCCGTATTCCCTGTGGGACACAGTGGGTCCCTGGTATCCCATTTACCCCATGGGATGTGATGGGTGGTAGGTCTCTGATGCCCAGGTGCTCCATATATCCCATAGGACATGGAGGGTCCCCATTGTGCCCAGTCTGCCCTGTGGGACGTGATGGGTCCTCAATACCCCATATTACCCATGGGATATGATGGGTGGAAGGTTCCCAATACCCAGGTGCCCCATATGGCCTTTGGGACATGGAGGGTCCCCAGTGTCCCCTCTCCCCCATGGGACATGGTGGGTCCCCAGTGCCTCATATATCCCATGAGACATGGAGGGTCCCCAGTGTCCCTTATCCCCTGTGGGACATGGTGGGTTCCAAATGCCTCATGTATCCCATGAGACACGGAGGGTCCCTGGTGTCCCATGTGCCCCGTGGGACGC